GGAAGTCCTCAAGGTTAAAATATTCCAGGTAGAAGGCCCTGAAGCTTTATACTGAAATGAATAATACACATGAAAAGAAATACTTTCTGTGGATAAAGCCATTTGTCTGTTTTCATGTCAAGGACTTGTTCTCCTAGATGGGTAAATAGGCACTCAGAGGCCTGTTTCTCAAAATCCTACCAGGGACTAAAATTTTCCATTTCATTTGGTAAAGTCGCAATCTTGTCTTTTAGGATCCTGAGCAGATACTGCACTGAATTTTTAAGCTGTAACAAGAGGATGTTCTATAGTCGTTGCAGATAGGTGTGGCTCATGGTATTTAAAAATTTATGTCCAGCCGGCACGATGGCTCACACCTATAATCCCTTCCTTTGGGAAGCCGAGGTGAGAGGATTGCCTGAGTCCACGGGTTCGAGACCAGCCTGGGCAACTTGGCAAGACCTCATCTCTACAATAAATCAAAAAATTAGACAGGCATGGTGGCGCACACCTATAGTTCCAGCTACTTGGAAGGCTGAGGTGGAAGGATTGCCTGAGCCAAGCAGGTCAAGGCTGCGGTGGCCGTGAGCATGCTACTGCACTCCAGTCTGAGCATAGGTGAGACTCCAACTCAAAAAAAAAAGAAAGGAGAGAGAGGGAGGGGGAGGGGAGAGGTGGGGCAGGAGAGGGTGAGAGGGAGAGAGAGGAGGGGAGAGAGAGGGAGAGAGAAAATGGGAAGAGATCTGCTTTCCTAATGGGCAATGTACTACAGACCTGGGTGAGGTCCCCTCACGCACCATAGCAACCCTCCACTGAGTACCTGCAGCGTTCTAAGATCAATCATCAGGTACAAGTAGTTCAGTTCTGTTGCTACAACAGCCACTGCTGGACTGGAGGGACTGTATCTAAGGAAATTCTACTTCAGAAGATTCCTCAACAGTGGAGATGCCACACCTTCCTTTGATTCTGATTGTTACTGTTCAACAGCTCCGCTGGCCTGAAGGATCCCTGAAAAGAACCAACAGGGCAACTTATACTCACTCTCACAGAACTCAGCTCTGATGTGTCTGGTCTCAGTTCTAATCATGGAAGTCAAAGAGTAGCCATTGGGAAGTAGGGAATGGTTTTAATTTACCCTTTTGGTCACCAATTTGGATTAGATTTAATTATTTTGCCTCCTCTGCTAAAATATAAGTTATCTGAGGGCAGCCATGTCCCATTCACCTGTCTATTATTTTCTATTACATAAATGTTGACTGAATGAATGAATGAGGGGGGAGGAGAGAAGGAAGGAAGGAAGGGACTGAGGGAGAGAAGGAGGTGGGAATGAGCTTCTATCCTGACATAACAAAGGTTCACTTTAAATTTGTAATCAAATTTTCTTCAGATCTGTTTTGTTAATATCCTGGCATGACTACAGAGCCAATGAGTTAACAGGTGACCCCTTGGCACCGTTTAGCATATGTCAGACTGTGTAACAAGGATTAAAGCGTTGTTTTCTCCATGGTGTAACACCATTAAACTATATGCCTAGGGGAATAATGGCATCAGCAGGAAGAGGACGAGAAATGAAACTGAACATTTATATAGCACATAATATATAAGGATCTTTCATAAACATCTTATCATTCATAAATGATAAGCTATATATAGAGCAGTGATAATTTCTCAGAGACTAGGGGATACACTCATCTACTTACTAGATTCTGCCAACTCCCTTCTTACGGTAGAGAGAGCAGAGCCCAGGGCATTACTCCTGGGAATTCTCCTTGGTAGAGCGGCAGGTAGGTCAAGGCCTGCCTCTAGGGCACGGGTCAAGCAGGAGAGCCAGGGTAATTACAAACTACCCGCTGAGCACTCAATAGATATTCAGGCAGTTGCTCATGCGTCCCAGGACATGGGGGTGGGATAGAATGAAAAAACAGAAGTCAACTGGGCTTGGTGGCTCAGCTTGTAATCCTACGCTTTGGGAGGCTGAGGTAAGTGGATTGCCTGAGCCCGCGGGTTCGAGACCCGCCCGGGCAACTTGGCGAGACCTCATCTCTACAACATATCAAAATGCGCCGGGCGTGGTAGCGCATGCCTGTAGTTCCAGCTACTTGGAAGGCTGAGGCAGAAGGATCGTCAGAGCCCAGCAGGTTGAGGTTGCGGTGGCCAGGAGTGGCCACTGCACTCCAGTCTGGGTGACAGAGTGAGACTCCAACTCAATAAAAAAAAAGAAAAAAGAGAAAAACAACAACAAAAAAGAAAAAACAGAAGTCTATAGATAATCTTTACATCACACCAGGACCATCTTTCCCAATCCTACAAATTCCTACCAGATGCGGAAAGACAACCACACAGGTGAGCCAAAGATCACTTTTACGTCCAGTCCCTGCCCTGGCTCGGGTTCAAACAGTAAAGCAGAAAATCCCAAAGAAAGAGGCCAAAAACCCCACGAAGATGATACACATAATCCACACCTGAACAATCAGACATCCTGGCAGAGGCCCCAGAACACTATTACGGAACACTCCAGTGCCATTTATTAGACGGACTTGCATAATATCTTTGACAGGGGGGAGCTTGCAGCTTCTATTTAGATCTTTTCTCCTGTACTCCATAACAAAAATAAAGAGACATCAAAACCATCCATTCCATCATTCCGTCTCCTCCTCCTCAACATCCACCCCCCCCCACACACACACACAGTTGAGGGTGAACCGTGTGACCTTGGGCGATCAATGTGGACCGTCTCTCTCTCTCTTCGCTGCTGTGTATACATGACAACTGTTCACTATGATGCAGCAAAAATGCTCCATGTTCCACAGCCTCTAGAGGACCAGCATTTATGGAACTTGGTTGGCATTTCTGTAATACGAACCATCAATACCACATTCTGGTTCAAAGGCATCTACAGTTGGAAAATAGAAAACAATCTGGGGCACTTTTCCCCACCCCTTTGCAGAAATACTTTCTGTGGGAAAGAAGACAGAGGGGCAGGAGAAAGAGAAACACAGGCAGAAACAGAGAAGCAAGTCATTCTTTGCAGAATGCTCACAGCTTCGTGAAAAACAAAACAAAACAAACGCATGAACGTTCATTTAAATATAAAACTGAGAGAACTTATAAATATGCTACTGTCATACTGTTTAATTTACTCTGTTATAGAGAAAAATTATCCCAAATAGAATTACAATTCAAAGACAGAAAACAATAATATAATTATTTCCTGCCAAGAAACAGGATACTGTATATCTAAAAACAGTATAAACAACTGTTAGCCTGAAATAACCATGAAAGTTCAAACATAAGTCCTCAGGGTAAAAGGCACAACTGTAGCTACCTTATAAAGTTATAGTCTTCAGATCTGGAGGAGAGTTCAGATGAACAGCAAAGCACAATTTATATTCAGTTCCCTTATTTTCAAAGGCTATATCTTATTTAATTTTAATTTGTCATGTCTTTAAACCTTACACAGTATAGACATCTTACATCCTAGAATTTATTTGATGAGAAATACATTATTCATTTATGGAAGTCAATGTACATTTCTGAAAGCATTAGACGTAACTTAAGAAAAAAAACAGTATTTATCCTAACACTCCCAATCCTCCCCTCCAAGAAAGTTCTCTGGAACAGTTAAAATTAATTACTTCAAAGTAGCAAAAGGAAGCTACCCATGTATCTTGCTTCATGTGAGTCATAAAGCAAAGTCTGAAGAATTAGAACAATAAACTGAAGCTTTTCTCCTCATAATATAGCCAGAAAAATGTACGAGGCCCACACACATGGGTTACATTTGTATTGTAACACAAAAGAAAGAATTCTGCTCTTCCATAGCCCAAGACACTGAAGCAGAGAGAAAACTGTGGGTTCCTTTAGGGATTCTCTTTTACTGATTTTTGAAGTACAGCACTGAGCCTGACCCACAGAGGACACACAGCAACATTCTGCTTAATGACTGAGTGAAAAGTGAACAAATGGAGTTTGGCACAAAAGTTTTGCAGAGCACTCAGAGACCTTATACAAGCCATATTCCCTTGGGCGCGGTGGTTCATGCCTATAATCCCAGCACTTTGGGAGGCAGAGGCGAGAGGACTGCCTGAGCCAAAGGATTCGAGAGCAGCCTGGGCAACTTGATGAGACCTTGTTTCTACAATAAATCAAAAAATTAGCCAGGCATCTTGATGTGCGCCTATAGTTCCAGCTTCTCAGGAGACTGAGGCAGAAGGATCGCCTGAGCCCAGCAGGTCAAGACTGTAGTAGCTGTGAGCATGACACCACACTTCAGCCTGGGTGACAGAGTGAGACCCTGACTCAAAAAAAAAAATTTCCCTTCTCATTCTCCCACGCTTCAATTTTCCCTCTTTTTCATGCTCTGTGGTACACCAAAGATGGCTGCCGATTCTTTGTCCTTTCTTCTGGGGAACTTCCCTCCACTACTTGCTTTAATCTGGGGGTGCTCTGTAAGTACCTCTACTCTGAGACTGCCATACTGTAGATGCTCCAGGCTTTTGTCCCAGCAAAGTCCAGTCTTTCATGGTGCTACACACTTAAGTAAAGCCATCTCAGACCCTTCAGACTAGCTCACCCACCAGCAGAATACACTAAGAGACTTCAATCAATGTCACATAGAGCAGAAGAATCGCCCAGCTGAGCCCTTTCCCAATTCTGACCCACAAAATTGTGTGATATAATTAACCGGCTATTGTTTTAAGTCACTATGTTTTGGGATAATTTGTTACACAGCAACAGATAACTAGAACACGCTCTTTCTCTTTACTTCTTTCTCTTCTTCTAAAGGTTAGCAGGAAAGCCAAAGGCATCCATGCTAATATAGCTAGTCCTTGTATTTGCAAGTTTAGCTCTGAAGACAGTGTAAGTAGAACACTGGGAGAAGAAACTATACTCCAATCAGCAGGCTTTGAACCTCTAATTTCTAGAGAAAGGACACTGACCCTGAGGGCAAGCAGCTGCCTCCCCAACAGCCTGGTACTGAAGGCCAGGCAGCCACCACCAGGCACCACGGAAGGCCATACCTGCCTCATGAGCTCCTCTTGGCGCATTCGAATCCTCTCTCTCTCCATCTGGATCCTCTGGAGCCGCAGTTTCTGCTGCTGCTGTTGCTGAGTGGTCAGCGCATTGGGCATACCCAGGAGTCCGGCTGGTGGGTTCTGAGTAGGATGGTTCTGCTGGCTCAGGGTACTGGGCGCCATCTGCTGCTGGTGTTGGTGATTCATCACTACAAGAGGGAAGAACAAACAGGGGATTCGTGACCAGGGCCAACAATCTCTCATTAAAAATAATGCATCAGAACGCTTTGTGCTGTGGAGCATGGATTCCTGCGATTGCTTCTTGTTAATCATTACTGTTTAAATAATTATTACATTTTTTTTTTTGAGTTGGAGTCTCAATCTGTCAAGAAGGCTGGAGGGCAGTGGCACCCTCAACGGCCACCGCAGCCTCGACCTGCTGGGCTCAGGCAATCCTTCCGCCTCAGCCTTCCAAATAGCTGGAATTATAGGCATGCGCTACCATGCCTGGCTAATTTTTTGATTTATTGTAGAGATGAGTTCTCGCCAAGTTGCCCAGGCTGGTCTCGAACCCGTAGGCTCAGGCAATCCTCTCATCTCGGCCTCCCATAGTGCTGGGATTATAGACGTGAAACACAACCCCCGGACTAAATATTACCTTAATTCAATTCACGGAGGCTCATATACTGGCCCCACTCCTGACTCACCAATTCTCAGCTCTTGTGTTCTGCCAAAAATCACATTTCACAACTTCCCTGTGTCTACGGCACATTTTAAGCCTTAGAGAGAACATAGTAGTCCAAAGTAAATTCTAAGCCGGGCTTGGTGGCTCAGCCTGTAATCCCGCGCCTTTGGGAGGCTGAAGTGAGTGGACCGCCCGAGCCCGCGGGTTCGAGACCTGCCTGGGCAGCAAGACCTCATCTCTACAATAAATCAAAAAATTAGCCGGGCATGGTAGCGCGCGCATGTAATTCCGGCTACTCGAAAGGCTGAGGCAGAAGGATCACCGGAGCCCAGCAGGTCGAGGCTGCAGTGGCCAGTAGCGGCCACTGCACTCCAGTCTGGGCGACAGAGTGAGATTCCAACTCAAAAAAAAAAAAAGTAAATTCTACAAAGGTTATGGCAACTTACGAGATCATTTCACCAGGACATCTGGAGTGAGTGTGTGTGTGTGTGTGTGTGTGTGTGTGTGTGTGTGTGTGTGTGCGCGCGCGCGCGCACACGCGCGCACTTTCTCAGATAATTTGCACTTTTGGGGCAGAGCTAAGGAGGGTGTGTGATCATCAGAACACATTGGGTATACAATAATATCTAGGGCTGACAGTAAACTGATTAGCTGTAACACACGGCATCTAGATCAAGATGTAACACACAGCATCTAGACTGTAACACACGGCATCTAGATCAAGAATTGATACATAAGGAGGACCTCATTAAAACGTTGTTTCAAAAGGATGCCCCAGGCCGGGCGCGATGGCTCAGCCTGTAATCCCAGCACTTTGCAAGGCCGCGGCAAGTGGATTGCCTGAGCCCGCGGGTTCAAAACCAGCCTGGCAACTTGGCGAGACCTCATCTCTACGATAAATTTAAAAAAAAAAAATTATCCGGGAATGGTGGCACATGCCTGTAGTTCTAGCTACTTGGAAGGCTGAGGCAGAAGGTTCACTGGAGCCCAGCGGGTTGAGGCTGGGGTGGCCATGAGTGTGCCACTGCACTTCAGCCTGGGCGACAGAGTGAGACTCCAACTCAAAAATAAAAATAAAAAATAAAAAAGGTGCGCCAAAGAAGCCTGAGCTAAACTCAGGAACAAATATCTGTTTGAGAAAAAAATGCTTGTTTTTGCAAAGGGAAAAATTAGTGAGAAAGATATTGTACAAAAATGCTAAACATGTGTATGTGAATAAAGACACTAGAGGTTTTCTAAATTTTTAAATAATTCTCTATTTATTTGTATTTACAACCTTGAAATTTCAGCATGTAGAACTTCACTTTAGAAAAAAATTTTAAATCTTTAAATAAATTCTATAACTGGTATTCCTCACAAAACATGCATTTTTTAAAAGCTAGTTTTCCTCAAAACCATTTACCAGTCAAATTTGCTTAACTTCTGCCTGGCCAATATCATGTAATAAAGAAATTCATGCTTTGCAGTCTGTTTGCTCCTAGGTCAAGACCAAAGACAACAAGCTATAATTTTATATGCTCACTTCATTTCCAAGCAAAACAAAAACAAAAAAAACCCCTCAATTTTTGCTACACTGGGTATAACTAACTTAAAAGATAAACATATTATCATATTTTAAGGTCCAAAAGTCAAATATTTTCAGTCTTCGGTTTGCCATGGATATTATGTGGAAACTAAAATTTCTTAAATGAATTTTAAAGTAGCCCCATCATCTATATACTCAATATTAAATGTATGTATAATCTATATTTGAAAGACAGTATCAAAACTGAAGATTTTCTATAGAATAGGCTTCTTTGAGGAAGAATCCCAGGGACTTATCCAAATGGAGGTGGGGGCAGGGTACAAACGTTCTTTTTGAATTCATACACTCATTCACATCTTTCTTACATTCCTGCTGTGTGCCAGGCACCAGGCCTGAAGCTAGATAAACAGTTCCCACCCTCATGGGATCGCACATGATGGTGGAAGGGATGTATGAAGAAATTAGATGAATTTTTATGTGTGGCTTATGGAACGTGAAACTGTTAGGCTGTGTAAGGAAGCTTGGAGATTATCTAGTCCATCCCTTTATTTTATGAGTCCATTCCCCCCTCCTTTTTTTTTTTGAGTAGGAGTCTCTCATTCAGGCTGGAGTGCAGTGAAACGATCATGGCTCACCGCAGCCTCAACCTCCTGAGTAGCTAGGACTATAGGCACGTGCCACCACGCGTGGCTAATATTTTTTGTTTTTGAGTTGGAGTCTCCCTCTGTCACCCAGACTGGAGTGCAGTGGCCGCTCCTGGCCACCGCAGCCTAGACCTGCTGGGTTCCAGCGATGCTTCCGCCTCAGCCTTCCAAGTAGCCGGAATTACAGGCATGCGCTACCACGCCCGGCTGATTTTTTGATTTATTGTAGAGATGAGGTCTCGCTGCCCAGGCGGGTCTCGAACCCACGGGCTCAGACAATCCATTCACCTCAGCCTCCCAAAGGCACGGGATTACAGGCTGAGCCACCGAGTCCGGCTTAATTTTTTTTATTTTTGCAGAGATGAAGTCTCATTATGCTGCCCAACTCCTGCTTCAACTCCTGGGCTCAAGCAATTCTCCCACCTTGGCTTCCCAGAGTGTTAGGACTACAGGCGTGAGCCACTGCACCCGACAACATGGTTTTACTTTTAACTACCCTAGAAACGGAAGTGTATGGTTAGTGGCAGGTAGAGCCAGGACCAAAATTGAGGCCCCCTTACACCCAGCCAACTGTCCTCTGCAATGCCTGAGGCCAATCCTCTAAATACAGTTTACCTTCAATTGATTGCACAACTGGTCATCAAAACAGGGGCCCAAAGGTTGCTCAGGTTACCTAGAGGAAAAGCTGGGCGGGAGGCGGGGAGGGGAGATTGTTGAATAGATTTACAACTCTGTACTCAATAATATGCCACTAAAGGAGAGAATATTCAGAGCATACTGCCTAAACAGTTTATGCCCTCCCTGCCCCCCACCGCCTTTTTTTTTTTTTTTTTTTTTTTGAGGCAAGGTCTTACTGTCTCCCAGAGTCAGACTGGAGTACAGTGGTATGATCCCAGCTCACATCAGCCTTGACCTCCCGGGCTCAGGTCTTCCTTCCACCTCAGCCTCTCAAGTAGCTGGAACCATGGGTGTGTACCACTATGCCTGGTTAATTAGGTTTCCTTTTCTGAATAAAGTCCATCACCAAGGACTCTCCCTTTCTGGCACCATCTCTGGCACACAGAGAGAACTCAATAACGATCTGACAAATGAATAAAACAACAGAGCATTTTTTTTTTTTTAGTTGGAGTCTCACTCTGTCACCCAGGCTGGAGTGCAGTGGTATGCTTATGGCCACCCCAGCATCGACCTGCTGGGCTCCAGGGATCCTTCCACCTCAGCCCTCCAAGTAGTCAGAATTACACATCAATCTTGACCTCCCGGGCTCAGGGGATCCTTCCACTTCAGCCTCTCAAGTAGCTGGAACCGCAACCGGCTGATTTTTTTATTTACTGTAGAGATGAGGTCTTGCCAAGTTGCCAGGGCTGGTCTCAAACCCTCAGGCTCAGGCAATCCACCCACCTCGGCCTCCCAAAGTGTTGGGGTTACAGGCTGAGCCATGGTACCCGGCCCAGAGCATTTCTTATAACTCTTAGATGTAGAACAGGAAAAAAAGAAATGCACAGTTATGATGGATGCTGAAATAACTGAAATTAGTATCTCACTTCCAGAGCTTATTAGAACATAATTTCCTTTTTTTTTTTTTTTTCATTAATCAGTATTTTTTATTATGGTTTTGTGGGGTACAGTTAAGGGTTAGGTGTACAATGACGTTTCATTCAGGCACCCTGTATAGAACATAATTTCAACCTCTACTTGAAGGCCTGGGATAGAAGGTCAAGGACAGTGCACACATGGTATCAGAGGAAAAAAGGTTCTCTTAAACAGAGACTCAAGTGCGACAAAGTCTAGGCATATCCAGGAGGGTTTCATTCATAAAACCTATCAGAAGCCAGGGGAAGGCCGGGCTTGATGGCTCAGTCAGTAATCCCAGCACTTTGGGAGGCGAGTGGATTGCCTAAGCCTGCGGGTTCGAAACCAGACAGGGCAACTTGGCGAGACCTCATTTCTACAATAAATAAAAAAAATCAGCCGGGTGTGGTAGCGTGTACCTGCAGTTCCGGCTACTTGGAGGGCTGAGGTGGAAGGATCACCGGAGCCCAGCAGGTTGAGGCTGCAGTGACCAGGAGTGTGACACTGCACTCCAGCCTGGGTGACAGAATGAGACTCCGACTCAAAAAAAAAAAAAAAGAAAGCCATAGGAGGGAGGCATAGATGGAAGAACAGTCATTTGCTTTCAAGGGACAGCCATTTCTGGACCTTCTGAAAAAGTATGCTCCTATTAGTGGTTAGTTATATCCGATTTCACTGCCATAGACAAAAAAGATGCCCAATAGATCCAGTATCAGAAAGCCCCAGGTCAGGAAAAAGAGGCTTGAAAAGTACAGATTGTTAATTCTATGTTGATTTTTATAA